AATGATAAAACGATTTCCTAGCTACTTCAGTTGTGATAGTGAGTTGATGTGAGAATTTTCTTTGGATACTTGAGTCTCGGGGCATTTCAAACTGTAAATTAAGTTTGTAGGGCCAACGTTTTCCACCGGACCAGATCATTGAGAATTTTGAATTTTCCATAACCGACTATTAAAATTACAAGAGAAACGATATATTTTACGCAACATACTTGACTACGATTTCTAGTTACTACAAGACACATCAAGTTTAAGTTTCTCACAATTTTACTCGCAGATTGCAGTTGAAAAAGTTTGATGTTATTACGTTTTGATCTAGTAATGCTTAGAAACATGCAGAACTCAAAAGTTGTGGACTAGCTGTTTAGATTTAGTGCTGCTTTTTGTAATACCAACCAGTGTTCTCTGCTTGATTGCTCTGCGAAGATGTTTTCTTTGTGCATGTAAATTCGACATGCTCACCAGCTTTAATCATAATCCATGTGTTAGCTTCAATACAACAGATTGTTTGATGACTCCCAATTTGATCACATTTGTGGCACGTAACTTCAGCTTGACATGCTGTTGATTTCATACATGTCAAGTTCCAGTTTTTGCCTTGGCCTTTGCACGTGCAAGTGTTGCCCTTATCACCTAGATGAAATTCAACTTGACTCGATGTATCTGGTGTGCATTTTATACTAACAACTTTCGACGAAGGCGATGAGGAATTTTGGTCACTAGTTGAGGACGCCTCTGAAAAGGAATTGCAATGAGCTGAAAACACAATCATGAATCACTTGGAAAAACAAAAAACCAAGACAAATTAAACAAACAGGTTCAGACTGAGCAAAACACATACACACACACAGACACACACACAGATACACACACACACACACATACACACAAAAAAAACGTACGCTAATCACGTCACATGGTAAATAATTCAAATACTCAGGAAAGAAATTGGAAAATATAACAGCTATCGGAATAGTAAACAAAAGCAATTGATGTTCTTCAGAAATTGAGACTTTGGACTTATGAAATGTCAATATGCGAATAAATACACGAAAACAGTTTAAAAGCATTAAACGCGTTCACGTTAGAACGGTATGAGTGTAAAACTATACTGTAATATCCAGTGTAAATTATGGGACTTTCTATAACGAGGACGGAGGACTGCGGACGGTGCTCAATAAAAGTAAGATGCGGAAAAAAAATAATTTGAAGCTCCCCCTCCCTCCCCCCTTAGCCTTGATCCTGGGGTGTAGGGGAGGATCCCGCTTCCTTTCGGGATCCGGTATTAGCGGGATTAGTACAGGTTATTCAGATGGCTCATAAAGCATATTTCACATACAGTTAAAATATATAGCTGTACTATAAAAAATGTGGGAAGGAATTTTTAACATTTTTAGCTATTAGAAACCTTAGTTCTAGAATGATAAAACGATTTCCTAGCTACTTCAGTTGTGATAGTGAGTTGATGTGAGAATTTTCTTTGGATACTTGAGTCTCGGGGCATTTCAAACTGTAAATTAAGTTTGTAGGGCCAACGTTTTCCACCGGACCAGATCATTGAGAATTTTGAATTTTCCATAACCGACTATTAAAATTACAAGAGAAACGATATATTTTACGCAACATACTTGACTACGATTTCTAGTTACTACAAGACACATCAAGTTTAAGTTTCTCACAATTTTACTCGCAGATTGCAGTTGAAAAAGTTTGATGTTATTACGTTTTGATCTAGTAATGCTTAGAAACATGCAGAACTCAAAAGTTGTGGACTAGCTGTTTAGATTTAGTGCTGCTTTTTGTAATACCAACCAGTGTTCTCTGCTTGATTGCTCTGCGAAGATGTT